CCTATTTTTTGTCCCGTGACTAAACAATTGGAAAATTTGTGAAAAACGGGGCTACTGAACAGTCGTTAGTAGACTATAATTATTAAAGTCCACCTATAGGTGGCTCCACATCAAATCGCTCCTGGCTACTGACAGAATACTTGGGCAAAAAAGAAAAATACTTTATAAACTGCTTGAGTATGGAGGTAATGCATCGCATTTGGACTTACCAAGTCATGTTCCATTGTGCATCTAAAGAGTTGCATTGATGGTTTTATTAAATTTGGTGACACAAGCACTGACATCCTGCAGCTTTGTGTGAATACTCACTTCCTACCTGGGTTCGACAACTTACTTAAAAGTCCAAAAATACCGTCTGAGTGTGTATCAGCGTTTGAGATTCGATCTGAAGTCATGCAAAAAGCACACTGAGATATCTGGGGACTCCGTGCTGAACAAAATTCCTAGCGGGAAAGCTATGGAAGATCGCCAACACAAGCATGTGTGCAGTGAACCAGTCACAATGTTGGAGATCTGCGCTGGGTTATATTCCTAGTTACCTTGATTGAGGCAAACCATTGCGGTCAAAACACGGAAAAAGGGAATGAACGACGTCTTTTCTACTTCAAATAAGTAAACGCTTCTTGAAAGTACCTGGACAAACCAGCACTCAGGAGTTGGAGTATTTCAAATTTAATCGCTAGCTAGGTTGCAGTTAAACGCCAGATATACTGCTCAATGAGCCTGAATTGAAACAGCCTTTAGGGCATTGTCGTTTTGTTACGTCGTTGACGTGACATTTAAAGTTGCCGGTTATTGCGCACGCGCCCATCCCTAGTTGCTCAAATGTCCGCTTGCCACTGGAACGCAGAAGGTGTAGACAAAATAGTGAAGCATATTTATATCACGCGTATCATCTTTGAAAAAACCAAAAGCAGACAGACTCCATTAATTGTATTTAGGGATAAACAGAGAGCACAATCACGAAGCGCTTTTCTGCCTCACTGGGCGTCATCAGGTGGTGGTAGTTCAACTCCAGTGTAGCAGCGGAAAAGGCCGCCACACTCGAGTTTCGAACTCGCGTCTCTCCGGCCATTAATGATGCGTTCATTACTGATGCGCAAGCTAGGTTGATACATTACTGACTAAATGCATAACATAACACATTTTACATAGGCAAACAGTTCTTTGATTATTTTTAGCACTAGAATCGATGTTCGATAAAATATAGCGTAGCCTCTCAGAACTTTACGAGAAAACGAATATCCAAGTGCATTATGACTGGTGCTAGACAACCCTGTCATCTGCATGCACGCTGGCAATCCTCTAGAGTAAAAAAGTACATTTTTCATTGAGACATTTGCCGCTGCCGGTTAGATGTGAGCCGATAGCTGAAAATTCGGGTACCTGCATATTTTC